CTGCGTACACAACAATCGGCGTGTGCGCCCCTACCCCAAAAATATAATTCGCTGCGCATTTGCTTTCCACGTTTATAATTTTATAGTACGCTGTACAAAGTGTATTATGTACCTACACAAAATCGCAGAGTGAGCTTCGAACGCAGCAGCAGCAGCAACAGCGGCAGCTCTTTGGCTAAACTCCGGCGCGCGCGCTGTATACATATATATCGATCTTGCGTTGCGTTGCGCTGTACAGAGAGGCACTATATACGCGGTGTATAACGACTACTACTGCTACCGGTAAGAAACGTGTTTCAAGGCTGAAATAACCGACTAATGGAGCGAAAGTAATTGAGAAATCTCGCAAAACTTTTGTGTGCGTTTAGCTTGGAGCTCGTTCACCGATCAGTGCTGTTGCTGCTGCTACACAGCCATATAGAGAGTTCTCCGTATAATAGGCAACTCGACTGCGCGCAAAGTATCTCCGTAATATATATAATTTATATAGATACTACCGTACACCCCTTCCTACCCATTGATTGATTGACTCGCTTTTCCGAATGATTTCTTAATTATATGTCTTATCCCTGCTGCACAGTAAGTCGACTTCTTCTTTTCCTTTCTCTCTCTCTTTCTCTTTTTTTTACCTCCTCTTTATCGACATCAAAAGCAATTGCTCGAGACGCGCTCGGTAGTAGTGGTGGGTAGTGGTGGTGCGCGCGCGAGTGCCGCTGCTGCTGCTACACGTTTATTTGAGCTTGAAAAGGCTATCTCTTCCTTCGGAGCAAGTTCCTTTACTGAATTATAAGTTGCTGTCTCGAATCGTTTCGGTGATTTTGCGACAGGTTGCAGGGTCATATCGTCGTCGTCGTCGTCGTCGTCGCACAAAAATAACCTCTTTCCCTCTCTGTCGTTCTATCTTCTGCAGCGAGAGGAGAAATCTTCTCTTTCTCTCTCTCTCTCCGAATGTAGAGAAAAAGGATATTAAATTGTAAACTTGTGATATAGGCCATCGTATCAACGGGGAGAGAGGGTTTTTATGGAAGATAAAAATCGCGTTCCATCCCTTTTTGCGCTTCTCCGTTGCCTAGAGAGAGAGAAAAAGAGAAAGAGGCAATATCAAAAAGTATCAATCGAGTTGGAACTGATATACGAACAAATCCATCTCGAGACAATTCAATATTGACTCCGCCGCTCGAAAGTTTTCGGGCGCGCTTGGGCGGGAAAACGACGTTACGGCTCGCCGAAGAAACGGCGTGTGAGAGCAGTATATATAGCGCAGGGGAAAAGCCCGAGAGGGTGAGAGAGAGCGAGGAACAAGAAAGGCTATTAGCCTAAAAATATCTTCATCGTGTTAGCCCGTATTTTCGGTTCATTGTGCATACACACACGGAGAAGAGCAGAGCCTGTCTTGAGGGCTCGATTAATCTCTTTCTCGCACGAGAACTTGAGCAAGAGAGTGAGATGTAGTCTCAAACCGCACCGATTGATCTTAGCAGCCCTCCATATTAGATAGATATAGATTAATCGTTGTAAAGCTCGAACGCTTGGGAGGTGTGGTGGAACTTTCGACTTTACCGAGCTGGGGGCGGAGGGAGAAAATATACTCGGTATATAATATATAATTGGTACACCAGCTGACGGAGAAGAGCACCTTTTTCCTCCATTCTTCATCCTTTCTCATTTATAACGATATGAGTGTAAGCTTCAGCACGATTCAATTGAAACTTACGTACGGCACGACTCGCGAAAACTGTATGGATCGTTAAATTCACGATCCATTCAGCGCATTATGCTTGTTTCAACGCGCGCGCGAGTGAGAGCCGGAGCAAAGTAGGTTAATAAAACAGCGATGAATATAATTCATCCACTCTCTCTCTCTCTCTCTCTCTCTCGCTTCCACGCGTGGCGGTGTGCGTGCGTGTGCTATAATACGCAACTCGAAGTATATAGCGAGGCGGCAGTGCATGTGCACTACTGCGCCTCGACAGAGCCGATTCACGTTGCGAACCGAGAGAGAGAGAGAGAGAGAGAGAGACTGGCAGCGCGGTAATGGTGGAAGAGAGAGAAGTTACGATCATGCTCGAGGGATGTATGTGTGCGAGTGCGAGCTTGGTAAAGCTATATACCGTACATACAACGAGATCTTTCTCATATTCAATTATAAATTCGTTGATGGATTTTTCTTTTCGTAGCACACCCCCTGCCCGACCATCCAGTGACCCGCACAACATATAATACGATGTATTAAATTCGATTTCTAATCCACGAAGTATAATTTTTAACGCGAATTAATGACTCGCGAGGGTGTGCCTATACTAATTTTTACACGCTCTCCTGAACCCATTGCACGTCGACGCACGATGTTAACATATTATAAGGTCGATCCCACATATGAGCAGCAAAACCACTGCTTCGGTTTCCTCTATAGGTACCTTCCGTGGGCCGCACGGTGCAATGAGAACAATCAATCTTGGGCGCATTACACACACACACACACACACACACACACACACACACACACACACACACACACACACACACACACACTCACAGAGACGCGTATAGTAGTAGAGCAGATCTATGGCTTAATGCAGAGGTTGCATGTGCTATTTTTAGTTTACATTAAAACGCGTATGTATGTAGGCTCCTATAGCTACTGCTGCCTGCCTAGCCTCGTGTGTCTGTGACGTCACATTTGTCGACGTCGACAAACGGGGGCTCTTCTCACTCTCGGCGAATATCGCAACCTCTGTATATATGGAGAGAGAGAGTGAGAGGACTAGTTTCGTACATATATATGGATGCGAACGTAACGACGACGACCCACATATGTCCCGGCACGTGTGATCCACGCACATGTAGAGCTTACACACTCACATGTATACCTATAGACACGAGAGCAGTTGCGAAAGTTAGGGGCCGATGTATAGGACATATGGATGTAGTTCCTGCAACGCGAAGCAGCGGCTTTGCCAATTAAGAAGTGCAAATTTTCTGTATTTCATTAATATAATTATTACGTACATATATCGCGAGAAGCGGTTCAAGTGGGATAACGTATGTATTATTATATCGTGCGCAGCTGCTGCCACATAACATAATGATGAATTATGAATTTTGGAAACTAGGCTCTCTCTCTCTCTCTCTCTCTCACGTGTGCGCGCACACGAAACAATAAAGCTCGCTGGACACAAGGACCCCTGCCGGTCCTTGACATTTTTTCCCCAGCGTTTGATCTATACCTCATTAGATGTATATGCTTATTAATTTTTTTTGTGTGCCTCTACACTCCATCGATTCTATTTATGCGCCAGAGACGCGCGCATTATACCTGTATGCATAAAACGAGTGCCATTTTATTATGCAGGAAAAAAAATTTGTAATCCTATTTTAAAGGTCGTCCTCGTATTCGTGCGCAGGCACACATTTTTGGAAGCGAAAGGTAAAAAAAATGAAGAAGAAGTGAAAGGCTCGAGTTTTAGGAAAAAGCTCGCTCTGAAAGGTTTACATTCTAGAAATGGATGATTGAAAAGTAAGTCTACATTCGTAGACGTGTGTGCACATAAGCTGAATGTCCCTTAATTTTACTGTGTCTATCGTTTCGAAGGCATGCTTATGATTCAGGAAAGTCCCCAAGAACTTTTTAAAATTTACGAAGTAACCCTGTGATTCAATTGCTACGCTGAGTAAAAACTTTAAGGACGTTCCCTCAGACCTAACTGACAAATTTGGGCATATTTCTAAAAAAAATCTGAAAAAATTCATACGCTTTCCTTGATAAATTCTAAGACTTTTTTGTTCTTTTAAAATTTTCGTAGAGTTCATGATTATTGAGATAAAAAATCGCAAAGATTCATTGCTTGAAATTGTTTAAATTTGAATCGTTTATAGCTCGTTAACAAACGATTTTAGAGAAAATTTGCAAAGGCACTTTTTTTAGGGTTTCAGGTCAAAAAGTTTACATTTTTATTTTTGCAATGTTTTTACATTAACTTTTCTCAAAAACTATTTGGTCAAGTTTTTCCAGGTTTGGAGCCATGTTTTAGTACATACTGAAAAATCATCTCCTAGTTTTTGAAAAGATTTTATCGATGCGTTTTTTTATAATCACGCAAAATAGCGTCTTTTCGACACGCTAGCATAGGGATCCCATGTTAAAGTACCGAACTTTGATTAATTATATTTCGGAAATGGTTTGGTTAAAGTTCCTGAAATTTCTCACACATATGAAAAGTATTGTCAATAATATGTGGTTAAAATTTCAAGACCCTTTATCGATAGTCATTTTTTTGAGGGAACTACCTTAAGAGCGCATATAAAACGTTCCTTACGATACACTAATTTGAGAGTGTTGCAAGCAATTGCGACTAATGTACGAGTATGTCTTGTCTTAGATATAACTACCAAACTTTACGTCATAACGTTTGGGGATTTATAATGACATCTAGTATTGTCTTAGATATAATAACTACCAAACTTTACTTTTTCACGTTCGGAATCGATGATGACATCTAGCAGTTAAGTCCGAAGCTCGTCGTCAATGAGCGCGTCCATTGGTTTCTCTAGTTTCTCGTCTACTTTTATTAACTAGACGAATACACTATTCAAATGAAAGTGTTAAAATTGAAAATTGTTTATTTAACGTTCATTTATAAAAATCGCGTTTTTTTCCGGTTCTATTTTTCTGAAATTTTTTTTCATCATACTTTTATTTTAATCTTCGATCTTTCAACTTGGAAAGAAACTATCAAGTAGAAATTTTTTCCATTTTTAGGTTTAAACTATAGTAATAAACATAGATTTAAACATTTTAAATTTATACAAGCTCGAAGGTGTGCGCGTCGGACGACAATGATCAAAAGTAAAGCGCCAATTTATAGAAAATATATTATACGCGCGCGCAACTGCGCGTAATTGGATGAAACATTAATCGAAAATTAAATGAGCACTATATAAATTTTACAAACGAGAAAGATCCAGGCGTTAAATAAAATCTGCATGTCTGTTTGTTACAGAGTTCGCGTCGAGTACTACGTGAACGAGAACACATTCAAGGAGCGACTTCAGCTCTACTTCATCAAGAATCAACGCTCAAGTAAGTTAATTACCTTCAAGCGCTTTCTTTCTTACTACCCTCTCTTCCACACCTCTCTGCTTCCTTACCCACCTCCTCCTCCTCCTCCTCCTCCTCCTCCTCCTCCCACGGCGACGACTAAACTTCAAACTCCATGCGGCTGCTTGGATATTCACGAGTGTGCGAGTAAAAATCCCTGAAGGGCCTTGCGCGAGCAGCCCTCCGCCGTTGCTCGAATGGAAAAAAATACTACTGCGCGTGGAAGGAAAAAAAACAGTTGAAGCTCCGGCGCGCGTTACACAAATTATTGCGCTGCGGCACTACTGCGAGAAGAATAAGAGAAAACGCCGCAGCAGCAGCTCCGTAGCCCTATAGCGGCTATTTTGTCGCGGCAAGTCGTTATAAACGATTGTGTAGCAGTCGTAATCAAAGTAGCGCGCAAAAAGTTGCAGAAGCCGCGGCGCGCGCCACAAAGCTTAATTTCACGTAGAAACGAGTTTTCGGGGCACGGGAAACTTTTCGCGAGCCTCTGCGGAAAAAATGTTGATACGTTTATAAGGGATAGACGAGCGCGTCTATTAGCGGCAATCTTGTTTTCCCGCGCGCACGGCCAAGTTTTTCGCAAGTACATAAGCGTAATGAAATGATAATTACGCGACGAACGATCAGCGCGCAATTCCTTCAAAAAGATATTTATACACATTAGCCAAATTGTACGCGATAAGCTTATCGGGAAATCCGGTGCTCGCGCGCGTTTATTTTTATCAGAAAAATTTAATTAACTCTTTTTAGCGCGCTCCACCAGCACTACCACCGCCGACGGTGTATACAGTGGTGGCAGCTTTGCACGCAACCGAGCATACACACACGTACAGCTCGCGATACACCACGTAAGTCGCGTGCATGTCTGTGACTGTGTGTGTGTGTGTGTGTGTGTGTTTGCAGATCCCGCAGGCAAATAAAAGGGGGTGCTAAGCGAACAAAAAAAAGAAAGAAGAAAAGTAGCAACGCGTTTTACTCTTAACTAGACGATGGCGTCCCAAAATCCCCGAGCGCGTAATCCTCCGATGACTATGCCGTGCCACCGCGCCGAGGCTTTCTGGGTATATAGATCCGCGCGGCGTAGCAGCGCTGATGCAAAGCTTCGCAGCTCATATTATATATTACCGGTGCGCTATACCCTATGTGTTTTGTTATTGTATATATAATCTGCCCCGTCGTAAAACAACATCAGAGCCGATAAATACTCGAGAGAAAATGTATTACACGCCGTGCAGGTTTTGTGTTTGTGTGTATGTGCGATACGCATCCTACTATACATAAGGAAAACCTGCGATGTAAGAAGGCAAAAAAAAAAAACAAAATAACACAACGTCTCGGGCTTATCGAGTTTTCTTCCCTCTTCCTTTTTTTTCTCTTCTCGCTACGTACCGAGGCTTTCTAAATCCATTGTGGTAACACCCGGCAGCTGATGGTACCCTTTTACGATCTCTACGGCGAGCAAGTGCCGATGATGGCGATGATTGGTCGAAAAACCGTCCGTGCGAGATAAAAAGAGAAGAAAACGTGGGGAAAAAAAACAACAACGACGCGCGCGCGATCGCTTCGGCTTATCGATCGTCGTCACAGCTCGTCGAGGAGGAGGATGAGTCATTTTCTTTACCTCTTTTTTCGTTCCTTCGTCGTTGTTCTTTTTTTTATCGAATTTCCCTAAATAAGTTTTCGGCTGCTACATAGCGCGCGCGCGAAAATATTGTAATAGTTTGCTCGTTTATACGCAATCATCGTGGCGATTACTTTATCTCTTTTTTCTTCTTTTACTGCTGCCTCGAGACAATTTCGCGAATAATCAAGCGTATAATAAAATCCGTGGGTAAAAAAAAAAGTGGGCGCTCGCACGTAACCCAACCAACCTGCAGCGCAACACCACTACTATACGCAGTGCGAGTATAAGAGCAGCGGCAGGTCGGAGGTGAATATGTTAGCCTCGACGACGACGACGACGACGAAAAAAGGCGATCGTATATCATAATTAACGAAGTTGGCACGTTGCCCGATACTAATAAGCTGCTGCTGCTGCCCTGTGTGCAGCTCGTATATACGGGTGCACGCGTGTACGAGAGAAAGATGAAGTTTCACAGTTCCTATACACATACAAGCATATATATGTGTGTTATCGTGTAACTGTGCGAACTGATGTATGAATGCGCGTAATTATATAGCCGAGAGAGAATATGTTTTTGTTCGGATTCACTTTTGCAGCTTTTGCCGAGAGAGAGAATAATAATACGCGACGACGATAGAGTCATACAATAATACTGGCAGTATGTGCACAAAACTCGTTCGTATTAATTCAAAAATCGAGCGCGTGACACATTTTGCGCGACTCGACGTGCAGCACTACACGATGTACGTACACGCGTACATTATATCTGTGGTGGAAAGACATAACGACTTAAGTCCATTTTTCGTTATTTCGAGAAAAACTCGTTTTAAGTTGATTGTGCCAGCCTAACTAGACGCGGACGAGTTGAGGTATGAACCTATGATGTTTTAAGCTACTATGAGGTAGCTTTTCAACTACGTACTTATGAAATTGAAAGGCGCATCATAGCGATGATAGGGAGCAAAAAATATGGACTTAAGTTGTTTTGCCTTTCCACGGTTTGCACTTAAGTCCACTTTTGGCGGTCACACTTTTTTCAATATCGATTATTTCGCGCAGTTTGTCATCATAACCTCATTTAACGAATTCACATTGATAAAATTGCTCATTTAACGTTATACTGCCGTCAGATCTCAAATCTTGCAACGAAAAAAGGCCATACTGAAAATCGAGAAAATTGCCCCTCGCGTATCAAATGTAACAATCATATAGTGTAATTCACAACATTCGAAGAGTGCAGAGCTATGTTTAACATTCTAATATCATTTTCTTTCATTTCCAAATAAAATTAGACTCTCTATAGCATTTTGAAACTCGCAAGGGTGGACTTAAGTCGTTTTGCCTTTCCCCAGTCTTCGCGAAATGGACTTAAGTCGTTATGCACGATGCTGCAACTAAAGCTAGACGCTATATTCGTCTATTCTGACCCTTGTACATTAAAATAGACACTAAATATAGACGTTTTTCATCATAAAATCGATTTTCAAAAAAATGGACTTAAGTCGTTATGCCTTTCCACCACAGATATATACCCGTATATGCATGGTGCAGCACTCGCATGTGCACGATGCATATTGGCCCCTCGCGCGCGTACATACATATACACTGGCACTAACAATGAGAGCCCAACCGAGCTTGAATCTTACAAGCGAGGCATCGGCTCGTGAACGAAATGGCTTGGACAATCTCTCTCTACATAGACATACGTACATAGGCCTCTCGTGGCGTTACTCATGCTCCAAGTGCGAAATCTGAACGCTACATTTGCGTATGTATCCTCGAGTCGCAGCTCCTTCCTATCGCCATGTCTCTCTTCGATTATGTGTGTAGGTGCGAGCTTTGTGTCTGTAAGCGCCAGGCGGGCCGCAAAACCACACAACGGTACACGCACGTACACGGGACGACGTGACGCGCCTAGCGCGAGTTTAATCCGGACGCGCTGTAAACCGTGCGTGTATCTTTGATCCTACAGTTATGTACATGTAGCTCTCACTGATGAATCGTAATTTGTTTTTTTGCTCTGTTTCAGGTCTTAGGATACGATTGGCCAATCTCTTTTTTAAACTGTTAACATGCTTTCTATACATATTCCGTGTGATAACCGACACCGATCCGACCTTCGCAGCCTGGTAAGTTCGTGTAGCCAACACTTTTTTGTCGTTATTACGTTGTTTTTGCTTCGCTGCGCGCCTTTACAAACACTACTATACTCGAGAGTTTATAATATAATAATAATCTCGGACGTGTTTCGACTCGAGCTTATACTCTCGACCTGTCGACGAAACGCAAAGATTCAATAAATCACTCGACGAGGTGTATAAAGCTCGGCGCGTCAGGGATGCAAAAAAAAATAACAACAACAACAACTATACGACTTTCTTAGCTCGCGCATAACTGCGAGGGACAAAAAAAAGAAGCTCGATATCAATTTTTCGCGCGACGACGCTTTTACGCTTTTCGAATTCTCCTTTACATTTTCTCTGCGCCGTGTATACCAACGTTGTTTATTATTATGCGCACACAGTTACGGCTGCACGCCGGGCAACAAGACCGAATTCCTGATCTCGCAGAACCTCACGGAGGAGGAGTTTCAGGAGCACCCGACCATCAATTGGGACGCCATACTCTGGGTGCATCGTCCCCTCGAGCTCTGGATCATTCAGGTCATTCTGGCCATGGTGTCGCTTACCGAGGCACTGCTGCTCGCTTATCTCGGATACAAGGTAAGAGAACTGGAATTTTTTGCTCTCGCACACACGCATACACATTTATATATTTTATATCTATATGTATCGATCGTATAAATGCTCTCGGTGCAGTTGCTTTTTTTTACCATACGCGCGGCTCTTCGTATAAAAATTTGATGGGGCAGAGAAAAAAAAGACGAATTTTTCCTTTCCTAACGCCGTCGCCACCGCCGCCACCCCCGCAGAGCAGCACCGCACATTCACAGAGCTCAATTGGAAAATAGCTTTTATCCGATAAAAAATGTTTCGCGAATAGCAGTAGCTGCAGCAGAAACGCGTTTGATCTTTACGAGTAAAAGCCGCCTGCTCGAATTTCCGTAATACATGTTTTGCGCCGAATGCACAACGCGCAGCGATCAAACATAAATTTCCCACGCTCGATCAGGCGCGCACGCGCGTGCGTAGAGAAGATTTTATTCGGCTAAAAAATTGCATTTAAAACGTTTATAACGAGCTCGTATATGTAGGCTAAACTGCGTGACAAGCCGAGCCCGACAAAAGAACAAAAAATACCTCTACACACGCACCCGTGCTTATAATTAAAACAAAATATTATTCGCGAGCGCGAAGCAATAATAAAAAAAAGGGGGCTCGAACGCGCGTAATGCCTCCATTCTCCTTTCTACTGTAATAATGATCAAATGGAAAACAACAAAAAAAAACAGGAAGGGGTAGATCTGCGCAAGAAAAAAATATTGCCCTGAAAAGTTTGTGTATTGCCGCGCGCGTGCAGGAGAGGAAAAAAAATTGAATCACGCAACTTGTAATAACATCATAATTTTTTTCCCAACCAAACATCGTTATAAAACTTTTTTACGCTCTTTCACCTTGGTGATGTTGATGGTGGTGCACTAGCTCGCGTCGAACCTTCCCCCGTGCATGGCGCATGGTCATATCAAAAAATAATAACAGGCAGAGCGAGCGACGAGCTTGCGAGCTTTCATTCGTCGGAAATCATGTAAAACGGTTTTCAACGGGGTTGGGGAGGAGGCGGAATACGACCATCGGTAAGCGCGCGTGTAAAAATGTCTTTATGGTTTGTTGCTATCGCAGAGAGACGTCTCTCTCTGATCCCTGGCAGTCGTCGTCGTCGATATGATAACGCGACTATGACGATGACTGCGACGTTTTTCGGGTGTGTTGTACGTGCGAGCTTTTACGGCGCGCGGCGCTTTTAAGAGCCTCGAGAATTCGAAAATGAATACACGACGGGCACGAAAAGTCGTTGTCGTGTATATAGCTTTCTGTGTATACAATTTCGCGGCTCTCTCTCTCTATGGCGGCTATACGCATAAAGTCTTTAATATCGTTATTCCCAGCGAGGCGCTGCGCGCACAGAGCTAGAAAAGGAATATAAGCTTTATGATCAACAATGAAGCGCTCCTCGTTTGTTCGAGTACGTGGCATTATATATATGTATACTCGATGCAAAGTTTTGCTATGGCTTATACTCTTTCCCTTTCTCTCTCTCTCTCTTGTCTTGTTTCCCCGGTTAATCATGGCGCACGCGAGCTAGTGTACGCTAAGAAAAATACCTTGAGAAAAAATTACTTTGTTAGGTAGTGAAATTCGCAATAAAATACTAATTTTTATGAGAATCTTCGAGTGTATCTCACGGTTACTTAGAACACGATCATTTTTTCTACGCTGTTTTTCTCTCAGGGTATGAAATATTAATGAAAAAAAACTAATGTTATAATGGATCTCTTGAGAATTACATCAATATGTTATCTTATTCACTTCTACGAGAGGATTTCATGCGGGTATCTCACGTGTCTTACTCTGACGCGTATCGTAAATACAAAGACGTTAAATGGTTTGCAATAGTCATTACAAGTGTATATATGGTCGATTCTCTGTGAAATCGAATAGGCAGAAAAGTTTTTTTATCGGCTGACACGATGAATCATGACATTGTCACGTCAAACTCGACCCTGAACTTTATTAGAATATTCGAGCTCTTTTACATCTGCTTTTCGGAGGCCTGAGAGTGGATATTTTTCTACATTTGCTAATTTTACTAATATAAAATACAAAATGAAGAGATTTCAAGATTCGCAGTATTTGCTCAATAAAAATCTAAATTTAATGCGACTCTATTCGGACTTTGATCACATACAAATACAGGAGACTTTCTCCCCATTGGCAAAAAGTTTCCCTTCAATTTTTTAATGGACCTATAAGTTCATAAACAAACTAACAAAAATGTATAATAAATTATAGAGCAATAAGCAACAATATCTGTGGTGGAAAGGCATAACGACTTAAGTCCATTTTTCGTAATTTCGGGAAAAACGCGTTTTAAGTTGATTGTGCCAGCCTAACTAGACGCGGACGAGTTGAGGTCTGAACCTATGATGGTTTAAGCTACTATGAGGTAGCTTTTGAACTATGTACTTATGAAATTGAAAGGCGCATCATAGCGATGATACGGAGCAAAAAATATGGACTTAAGTTCTTTTGCCTTTCCACGGTTTGCACTTAAGTCCACTTTTGGTGGTCACACTTTTTCAATATCGATAATTTCGCACAGTTTGTTCGCACAACCTTATTTAATGATTTTACATTGATAAGATAGCTCATTTAACGTTATACTGCCGTCAGATCTCAAATCTTGCAACGAAAAAAGGCCAAACTGAAAATCGAGAAAATTGCCCCTCGCGTATCAAATGTAACAATCATATAGTGTAATTCACAACATTCGAAGAGTGTGGAGCTATGTTTAACATTCTAATATCATTTTCTTTCATTTTCAAATAAAATTAGATTCTCTGTAGCATTTTGAAACTCGCAAGGGTGGACTTAAGTCGTTTTGCCTTTCCCCAGTCTTCGCGAAATGGACTTAAGTCGTTATGCACGATGCTGCAACTAACGCTAGACGCTATATTCGTCTATTCTGACCCTTGTACATTATAATAGACACTAAATATAGACGTTTTTCATCATAAAATCGATTTTCAAAAAAATGGACTTAAGTCGTTATGCCTTTCCACCACAGAATATAATCGTAGTACAAAGTGAAATTATAGAATTTTTGTGGCAGTTAAAATCTTACCTCGTTACACATTTTTCCCTTTTTTGCATTTTTGTGCCCCATTTATCCCTTTTTTGCATTTTTGTGCGCCATCTATTGACGATTTACCGATTTAAATGATATCGCGAGCTATAATAGTAATTTTTCGCAGTGGACATCGTTTGTCGGAAATACCCATAGTAATATTTGGTAATTGTATTGTGATTTTCATTACAATTGTAGTATAAAGTATCATAATCAAAGTTTTGCGGCATCAATTATTGTAGAATTTGTTAATTTTTATCATTAATTATTTTTAAATTTTCTGTAACGCAAACAAAAAATGTCAAACGCGTCAACGATTTTTTGGAAAATGTACGAAATAAAATCGTTTTTGTTTCCCCGACTCGACGCAGAATCGGTCGTATACATCGCACGCAGGCGAGAGAGCGTCGTCATTTGTATTCACAGTGACTCGCGCTCGGTTTCATAAACTTGGCGCCTTCGTTCGCCCAAGTCTTTCTCACTACACCACCCGCGACTTGTTTCTTCTATCTTTCGTTATTTACATCGCAAACTTTTCATTACCTCGGAAATGATTAAAGCTCGTACTGGGAATGCCTTTTAAGCATAAATGCATCGGTAGTGCTACTAAAATGTATTACACGTATTCGAGCGATTATTGGTAACTGCGGAATCAAATCAACGCGATTCATAAATAAAATTATCGAAAGCGGAAATCTGCCGTACTCTCTTATTTCTTATCCTCCCGCTGTTTGCACTGAATTATCGGATTTTCACGATCGACGTACAAACACGCGGAGTAAATCAGTCGTGTGCACGCGCGTCGACTCGATCGATCCCCGGCCCGAATGTGCATTGCAAATTTTTGCAGCAGAGATTACACGCGTGGATAGGAATCTCTCTCTCTCTCTCTAGGTAGCACATTTTGTCAACGGAACTGACCGATTGGCCATAAATCAGCGCACAGCTCTCTCACAGCTGGATTCTCGCTTGTGCTTGCGCTCGTTGACTCCTTCGGCCGATCGCAGTCGGCGGATATACACGTTTTATCGTGTGCGCAGCTCTCGGTGTCCGGACGAAAGGTCGACTGCTCCTTTTCGAGCTGCCGCGCGCAAAAACGGAAGACTCGATTAGGCTATGGCGTGTCGCGCGCAGTTGGGCCGTCGGCGCCACCACCACCAGCTCTCGCTCTGCAGGACGTCTTTTTCCTTTCTATATATAATATCAACGACATCTTGCGTCGGGCTCTGTATAACGTAAATATATATCGAGAACCAAGAGTAGTTGTGCGAAAGAGAAAAAAAAATATGAGCTTTATAATGTCGTTACTCGCAATCATATACAGCCCCCGCAAGTTGCGAAAATTGGCTTAAATTGTAGGCTAGACGCGCCTTAGAATTTATTTATCCGCTGTATATTTAATAAGCTCTCCTGGGGTGACGCTACCCCTTTTTTCTCTTATAAATATACGTAAAAGGACTTTAGCCGAGAGCGAACGAAGTGGATGGAAAAAATCGAGTCTGTCGATCAAGTTAAGAAAAAACATTTTATACGTATAACGTATATAATATACGGAAAGCGTCACGGATTTAATTATTTGCGCGAAATGAATATTTTAATTTGCAAGCTGCGTTTGATTGTGTGTAATCAGAGAGACGTTTCAGCTTGTTTTTTTATATTTCTGTACACAGCAGCGTCGAAAATAAATTATGAAAAAATAATGCGTTTATGCGCGAGAGGGAGCAGCCGCTAAGATACTTTCCACTTTCGCGAGTCAACGTCGATCGTAATATACAGCACAAAACGTCGAAAATCACGGTGCACTTTGTCTTTATTCTCTCTCCCTCTTTCTCTTGAATAATAAATTTCAGTTATAAATATATACACACGCAAAAAAAAGTTTCGAGTCTTTCCGACTTGATTTGTTTCACCATTGACG